CACGACATCTGGTTAGCAGCCAGTTTCTTGGGGCTGTCCCTGAGACAAGGGGCTCAGGCAGCTGCAGGACAGCTTCCAAGAGAGGCCTTTAGCCAGAGGCCAGTGTGCCACAGGCGAGACGTCCACTTGGGACATTGTCCCATCTGGGTGGCCAAATTGATATCGAACCAGAAGTGAGTTCACTCACTCATTGCTCAGCAAGCCAATCTCAGACACCGGCGGTAGTGGAAGAAAGTAGGAATTTTATTATCACACAGCGCTGAGCAAGGAGAGAGGGCAGCTAACACTGAAATCCCAAACTCCCGGAAAAGCTAAAAGGAAGGGTTTTATTTCGGGTTTTAGGTAGCGGAGGGGGAGAATATGGCCTTGCTGGTCGGAGCTTTCCCACCAGCCTGTCTTTGGCCTTGAGACTATGTGCAGAGAGGAGGGAGCCTGTGACCTTGCTGGTCAGCAACTTTCCCACCAGCCTGTATCTCTTTGCGGGGAGGAGATAATGAACCCAGGTGCTTGTCCTTGATGGTGTCTGTCTCCATGCGGGATAGTGGATTGTGGAGCCAGGAAGGCAGAGATTAAGCAGGGAATGAGTGTTTTGGTTTTCACCCCATATATGCTGGGTTTAATGTGGGAAACTGATATGAGGGTTGGTATCAATCTTTTTGTTCTTCTCCAAGGTTTTCTTATCAGCCCCACTTTGTGAGGATAAAGAACTTACAACGATTGTTCTTCATCACCAAAACCAACCAACTAACCAACAAACCAACCAACCCACCCATCCTTGTCTCCTTGTGTTTTGCTCTGATTCATTCATGTGTATTCTATTTACATGTATTTTATTTCAAGGACTCTATCACTTCAGAGATTTAAGAAAGATTACAGGTCTTCTATACTAAGGCTATAAAAGCACACCGAGGAATTTATTTCCAGCAGCTTTTGCCTGTGGTACCTGTAAATGTGGGTGAAGTCTACTTTCCCAAGGTCCTCCAAATCTGCTAAAGTTTCTGGTCCATCAGGAAATGGTCTCTTTTCCAGGGAACAGGTACCAGACTGCCTTCCTAGGTGTGCTTTGTAGGCACCTTTGTCCTTAATGATGGACTTAAAATTCGTGACTGAATAACATGTATTTTGTGATGTGAGACTTCAGCAAACTCAAAGAATTTTATGGCACGATTGAATTTTCAAACTACATTCTGGTAAAAAGCAGGGCATAATCTCATCGAGTGTATGCAAAGAATCCCATTGCCGTTAAAAGTAAAAAGATTTAGTAAGTGTATTTTCCCCTGAATATTTAAGGATCAGTGAGAACATAAATATTGAAAGGATATTTTACTGGATTAAAGACTGGAGAGGAACGAGAAAGGGATTTATTATAAAACTGTCAAAAATAGAATATTAAAGCAACACCAATAATATTGCAAACCCGTTACAGCAGGTTTATTTCCCCCATCAGTTTATGTGGTCCTACGTAACTTTTGCTTTTAATTTTGTTCTGCTGGGTAAATGGAGATGCACACCATGTTCTCTGTGGGAAAGATTTAACATGCAAAAGTGTTGATTATTCCGAAATTAATGTATCAATCCGATGCAATACTGAGGTAGACGCAGTGATGAGCTACCCAGAATCCCCTTTTCAGGAAGGACTTGGTGCCCCGCTGTGGGGAATGTGACCTGTGCAGACAGCCACGTCCCCTGAGGTTCTGCCCCTGCTGGGGTGGCCGGCATCTGGTGACTGAGCCACGGTGGGTGATAAAGGCCTGGTTCAGCCTCGTGCTGGACAGCTCCCACAGGCTATGCTGTTTGAACTCCCAGAACCCCCTGGTGGACTGGCTGAAGCTCTGTGAGGTCTCCACCGCTGTTTAACTTCTCCCTCTGCCCTCTCCTCCTTCTTCCCCCTTCCTTAGCAGGGGCTAGTCCCTCATACATAGCTTGCCCCCAAAATACAGTCTAAGTGTTGGCTTCCAAAAACCCAGCCTGTGACAAATGCTAATCAACATAAATGACAGCAAGCAAAACAAAACTGGAAACAACCTAAATGTCTATCAATAGGGAAATACTTAGGTAAATTATGGCACGCATGGAATGAGATAAAGATAGGAAACGAATAAAGGACATTTTATGAACTGATGTGAAGAAATGTTCCTGATGCATTAACTGAATGAAAAAAGTAAGTAGCAGAAGACAATCCCATTTAATTAGAAAATGTAATCTAAAACGTGTTTGCTCTCCTTCTTCCCCCTTTAAGACACAAAGTTTCCTCCTAGAAAAAGGATGTGTGTAGGAATTCAGGGCAGCCCCCTTAGGGGGATTTCCAGGGTTTACTGGATTGAATTGAATCCCTTTCGTGAAGACAGTGCACGGGGAGAGAGTCAGGCCAGGCTAGGGTGGTGGGCAGCACTGGGCTGGAATTCGGGCTCTTTCTCTTACCAGGTGTGTGATCTTGGGCAAGTGACACAGTGGCCCTGAGCCTGAGTCCATCACCCAAAATGCCTCCTGAGTTTCTCATGGGAGTGAATGGTTAGAGTGTGGTCAATATCTGTGCAGTCTCCGTCACAGATTCGATGCTCCACAAATTTTCCTCCTTTGCATGGCTCCTCCTCTTCCGTTCAGACCGGGAATCCTACTCTCCATCATCCTCTTCCCTCCTGGGTTGGGTGAGGGAGCTCGGCCAAGCTGGGAAGCTTAATGGCTGAGACCCAGAGGAAGCTCAGATGCCAGGAACTTGGGTCAAGATGGAGCAAGACCAGAGAAATGGGCTGCTCTGGATTTCAGTGTGCAATGATTTGACACCAAAAATTCTGGGAAATCCTGAGGCAGGAAGTGAAAGGGAGTGAGGGCCAAAGGAGAAACAACACATTGGGTTTCCTTCTGGTCCCTTCTGGTCTGACTCCCCTCTCCCAAATGGTAAAATTGAGGAAGTCAGGGGAACTTAAAAGAAGCAGAAAGGAGTAGACACACTCTGGAGGAGGAGAGCCAAGCTGGCCGCACGTCCAACTCCTCCACACACACAATCGCTGCCCGTGTTCCGATTTTAATTCCTTCTCCTTATTATTGACTTCCCCAAGTCGAGGAAACAGAAGATCCCAGCTCATAGACCCCTGGGCTTTCAGACACGAAGACCAGCAGGACTCTGCTCACATATGTGACTCATCCTTTGGCCACCTCTACCCCCAACTCTCCAGGATTTAGTTTTTTCCAGCTCTGGTCATCATTGAACCAAGAACCCAAGGATCCCAGCCTGCAGGCTTTCCACAGGTAACGGGGCTGGGGACACAGTTGAGACCAAGGGGACAGGGAGGATGTTAGAGAAAGCCAGGAGGGGGACTGTGGGTCCTAGGTGGGACTGAATGGGAAAAATAGAAAGGGGCAGCATGCGGATAATGACCAAGCGAGGATCTTATTCTCTTCCCTCCCCTGGATTCAGAATCAAGTATGGCAGCCAAACCTCAGTCACAAACTGAGACTCAAACTCAGCCCCATGTCTAACCCAGTTCCAGCCCTGTCCTCAGCAATAGCCCCAGACGCAGCCCCACCCCCATGCAAATCCCAGCCCCTTCTTTAAACCCAACCACAGCTTCAACCCCAGAGTAAATTTCAATTTTAACTCCAGCCTCAACACAAGGTTTACTTTCAGTCACATTGTATTCCCAACTTCAGCACCAAGCTTAGGCCCAGCTCCATCCGTGGCTCCCACAGGAGTACTGACCCCAATCCTAGGAAGACACACAACCTGCCCTGCAGCCCCGCTGTTAGGCCCTGTCCTAGCGATATATTTAGCTCCAACCTTCCCTCCGCCTTAATCCCAAATTCAACCCAACCCCAGCCCAAGGCCTGCTCCTGACCCCACCTTCAACCTCAGCTGCAAGGCCAGGCCCCTTCCCATTGCAGGCCCTGACCCTGGACTCCTTCTCAAGCCCAAGCTCATCTCTTACCTCAGCTCTGGCCCTGACCTCAGCTCCAACGTAGTCCCAGCCTGCCCCTTTGCCCCAGCTCCTGCCCCAGCCTGGCCACTGGCCCTGCCTCCATTTCAGCTCTGACAGCCTCGGTGGTCGTGTTGGTGCCAGCATGCCAGTGAATTATGAAAACTTTCAGCACTCGGAGAGTGAGAACCAAAGCCCGGGGCTTAGAATTGGTAAGAGGAAAGGAGAAATGGTCTCTCCTAAAATACCTCCTTAATACGTTTAGAAGGATTTCTGCTGTGATGTGATGTCTGTGCCTCTACCATGTGCACTGTTGGGTCCCCAAATCTGAGGTGGTGGGGCCCCAGCCACCGGAAGCCACAGTATGAAGAGGATTCAGGGTCCTCAGCAAGACAAGCACAGGGAAGACCACAGCGGGCCTGGCTTCTGTGCTCTGGGTTGGCCCTGGTGTGGGAATGAGTGATTGGGTTTGGAAGGGAAGGCCATTTGCTACTTGGGTAGTAGAGATGAGCGTGAGGTGCTGTGGGCCTGGCAGCCCCAAACTTGCTGGGTCCTCCTGCCACCTCTGCCAGCTCTGATGATAGGACTTTACACATCACCATTATCTTGAGACCATGTTTCCTTGTGTACATTTGTCCCCAGTGGTATGAGGGGCCTGTGTGGCTGGGTACTTGTGCTGGTCCATGCTGGGTCAGATGCCTGGGCATCCCCCATCCCACAATCCTCCTTGTGCAGCCCCCTTTCAGGCTGAGCATTAAGGTGCCAGTCTTGATCCCTGACAGGCTCTGAGGCCCTCTCCTCCTCCCCTGTCTCTCTGGGTCTCTCTGGGACCCTCCTTGTCCTGACGCCCTCTCTCCTCTTGCAGGGCTGCCTCCCCTCCTTCCTCCCTTCCTGCAGACACTCTGTTCCAGCTCCCGCCTCCTGCTGCTCTCCCTGGGCCTCAGCCTCATGCTGCTGGTCGGCGTCTGTGTGATCGGATTCCAAAGTGAGGGTCACAGGGTGGGCAGGGAAGAGAGAAATAAGGGCTGCATTGGTGGGGGCAGGGACGGAGTTAGAGATGGATAAGGCTGGCTGCTGGCTCTGTCACTTATTAGCTGGGTGATGTGGTCAGATTACGGAACCTCTCTAGTCCTTGGTTTGCCCATCGGCAATACTGGAGAACAACAGTATCTGTCCCTTTGTGGGGCTTGTTGTGAGGAACCAAGGAGACAGTGTGTGTCAAGTGCCTGCTCAGTGTTGCACAGAGGGGGCCTGATAATCTTCGCCCTGATTGTCCCATTCGCCTCGTCAGATTCCACGTTTCAGAGGGACCTGGTGACCCTGAACAACTCCACATCACAAACTGAGCTTCAGGTCAAGGCCCTGATATCCCAGGGTGAGGCTGGTGTGGAAGGGGCTCTGGACTGGGGTGGGGTGTGGTGGAGGAGGGGGTGCGAGCTGACTCTGCAGCACTGAGTCCCCATGTCCTCCAGGCGACAGTTTGCAAAAGACGATAACACCTCTGAAAGCAGGGGTGGGGAATCTCAGGCAGGAACTGCAAGCAGGTGAGACTCTGCAGGAGTGTGTGGGAGGGCAGGGCTGGCCCCAGGACAAGGTGGGGGAGCCCCTCGAGGTGCTGAGCGCCCTCCCGTCCAGCCCGTAGCATGAACGACAAGGTGTTTTCCCTGGAGAAGAAGCTGGAGGAGGAGCAGCAGACACTCAAAGCAGGTCAGGCCCCTGCTCCCATCACCTGGGCATGCCGCGTGGGGAGGGCAGGGAGGTTCCGAGGCGGGGCCCGTGCAGTGAAATCTGGCCTCCTGGACTCAGGGAGCAGAGTCCACACCCAGGGCACTGTCCCCACTGCCCCCCTGTGTGTGTCCCAGATTATGCTGAAATACGCCTCCTAGTCCAGCAGCTGGCCAAAGACCTGACAGCCCTGACTTGCCAGGCGGCTGCCCTCAAGAGCAATGGTGAGGGGTGTTGGGGGTGTGCCTGACTCCTTTGCTGCCAGAGTCCCACTGGGCAGCATCTCAGCCCCCCCCCCACCTCTCCCGGCCCCCTAGGCTCTGCCAGGGCCTGCTGCCCCCTTAACTGGCTGGAGCATGAAGGCAGCTGCTACTGGTTCTCTCGCTCGAAGAAGCCCTGGCCCGAGGCTGAGAAGCAGTGCCAGCTGCAGAACGCCCACCTCGTGGTCATCAACTCCAGAGAGGAGCAGGTGAGGGCCCCTGGTGCTCAGCTCCCAACACGTGTCCCCTTTAAGGAAATGGTTCCCACACTTGGCCCCACCTTGCAGTCACCTGGGGAACTTTAAAACCACTGCCCTCTGAGCCCCACCCTCAGAGACCCAATGGGCCTGGGCACTTTCATAAACGTCCCAAATCTCCTCAACTGCTTTAACGAACAGGTAAAGGTTAGAACTGCTAGTCCAAGGAGATGGGGAGAAGTCACCATTGCCCTTCATTGTCCCAGGATTTTGTCCAGGAACATACAGGCTCCTCATTCACCTGGATGGGGCTCAGTGATCCTGAAGGAGTCTGGAAATGGGTGGATGGGACAGACTACAAGACCAACTTCCAGTGAGTACACCCTGGCTTTCCGTGTCCTACCTCCTCCTTCAGCTCTGCTCCTCAGATCTGACCCACACCCCCTTCTCAGACTTAGATTCTGTGCCACCTGACCTTTCTAGTTGCTGTTGTCCTCTCCCCTCAGGAACTGGAGTCCAGGCCAGCCAGATGACTGGGACGGACATGGGCTGGGCGGAGGCGAGGACTGTGCCCACTTCCACTCCAATGGCCAATGGAATGACATTGTCTGCCAGGCGCCCCTCCAGTGGGTCTGTGAGACCAAGATGGACAGGGCCAGCTAGTTGAGTCTCAGAGCTGCTTCCTGTACACCACCCAGCTGCATTTAGAAATGGGATCAGGGGAGAGGGGCCCTTCTCCAGAGATGCCTAACGAGACCTCTGTGGGAGAGGAACAAGCCCTGTGAGATGGGAGCACTGCCCTCAGCCTGAATTGTATTCTCCTCAACTGTCAAAAGACTATATAAAGGTCCTAAGGTTTTTTTTTAAAAATTTCAGCTTCGTTGAGGCATTATTGACATAGAAAATCGTAAGATGTTTAAGGCTTACTTTGTGGTGATTTGACATATACATTGATACACACATTGATAGATACATTGTGAAAAGACTCCCCCCATCTCGGTAGTTAACACAGCCATCACCTCACCTAGTTATCTTTGTTTTCATTTTGGTGAGGACATTTAAGTTCTACTCTCTTCGTAAATTTCAGTTATTCAATACAGTGTTATCAACTGTAGTCACCATGTGATACGTTCGATCCTCAGACCTTGTTCATCTCATTGCTGAAAGTTTGTGCCCTTTGACCAACCTCTCCCCATTTCCCCTCCCCCCAGCCCCTGGCCACCACTTTTCTACTCTCTGTTTCACCCACTTTGCCTTATTTATTAATTTATTTTCGATTCCATGTATAAGGGATACCATGCACTATTGTTTTTGTCTCTCTGGCTCATCTCACTTACCTTAATGCCCTCAAGCTCCATCATGTTGTTGCAACAGGCAAGATTTCCTTCTTTCTCACGGCTGAATAGCATTCCATTGTACGTATGTGCCCCACATCTCCTTCACCCAGTCATCTGTTGATGGACACAGGTGGTCTCAATATCTTGGCTGTTCTGAACAAGGCTGCAGGGAACCTGGGGTTGCAGATATCTCTTGAATCTCCTCTTTTCATTTCCGATGAGTATAAACCCAGAAGTGGGATTGCTGGATCACATGGTAGTTCTATTTTTAATTTTCTGAGGAACTTCCATACTGTTTTCCATTGTGGCCTCACCAATTACATTCCCACCAACAGTGCACATGGGTTCGCTTTTCTCCATGTTCTAAGGTTTTTTAACCTTAAAAATCAACTTTATTTGGGTATAATTCTTTCACAATAAAATGTGCCCATTTAGAGTAGAGATGACTTTTGACAAACATGAATATCGAGGCACGTACCTCTACAATCAAGACACAGGACACTTTCATCACCCCAAAGCTTCCCTTTGCCCCTCTGTGGTCCCTGCCCTTGGCCCCCAGGTAGCTAATTATCTGCTTTCTTTCATGACAAATTAGTTTTGCCTATTCTAGAATTTCACATAAATGAAATCACACAGTATGTACTCTTTTGTGAAAGCTTATGTATTTTGTGTTGCCTGATTTTTAGCAACCTTGAAATGGCAGAATGATGAAGGTAGGTGAGGCCTTGGAAAGTGCTATGTTATTGTGAAAAGAGCATTTTCTTTTCATATAGATTTGAGTTCAAATCTTTTCTGTCTTTTTTTTTCCTGAGGAAGATTAGCTCTCAACCTCTGTTGCCAATCTTCCTCTTTTCTTTTTTTCTTTTTTGCTTGAGGAAGATTAACCCTGAGCTAACATCTGTGTCAAACTTACTCCACTTTTTATATGTGAGTTGCTGCCACGAGTGGTGTAGGTCCACACCTAGGATCCAAACCCCTGAAGCCAGGCTGTTGAAGCAGAGTTTGCTGAACTTAACCACTATGACGTAGGTTGGGACCCTTTTCTGTCTCTTAGAAGCTTATAAACTTAGTGTGATAAGGAAAGGCAACTCCTTAATTTCTTTGAAGCTCCCAGAGTCATTGGGAAAAGTAGATAAGATCCACAAATGTATTTGTTAGCTATTGCTGTGTAACAAACCATCCCAAAGTTTAGAGGCTTAAAACAATAAGTATTGATTGTAGCTCATGAGTCTCTAAGTCAGCTGGGTGCTTTTTTGGTCTGGCCGGGCCTGGTTCATCTTAGCTGGGCTCATTCATGCATTTGTGGTCAGCTGGGGGTGTTGGCTGGGAGCTGGCTGGTCTAGGATGGTCTCCCTCCCATGGCTGGCTATGGGCTGGGACAACGGGGATGACTGGGCCATACTAGGCTAGCCTGGGCTTGTTCCCATGGTGTCAGGGCAGGGTTCCAAGAGAGTAACTGGAAACATGCAAGGACTCTGGAGTCTTAGTTTTGGAACTGAAGCACCATTTCTGCTGCATCCTATTGGCTCAAGTAGGTCAGAAGGCATCCGAGATTCGAGGAGTGGGGAAATAAAATCCACCTTTGGATGGGAGGAACTAAAAAGTCCCATTGTGTAGAGGATGGATATAGGGAGTGGTGGAGATTGCTATTTTTTCAATCAATCGAGCATACCAGGGGAAGCATCTCAGTTATAAGGAAGCAGCCCATAGCTGAGAGTGCTTATTAATAGAGGGCAGGACCTGTTCATTGCTGCATTATTTGCATCCAGACCACTGCCTGGCATATAGGAAGGAATCAATTAGTGCTAATCAAAAATAAAGAGGACAGTGTCAGAAGGAAGGTATGAGAAGGACAAAATTTAGCCCCCAGGAGGCAGCACCCTTTTACTTCTCCCTGTCCACCAGCATCACATGAAAATCATCAGGCTGGAGCAGAGAAAGGTCTTGGGTGGAAGTGCTCAGAGGGGACCCAAAACTGATGGGGTCAGGAGGGCACTGCCCCATGTGCAAGAGATCCCAGAAGAGAGCAGTGACATGTGGCTGGTTCTGTGGGCACCAAATATTGGAACCCAGTGCAGCCGAGTGCACATGTCCACGAGTCCTCAGGTGGCCCCAGGTCTGTCACTGGCACCATGACAGAATCCAGTCAGTTATCTGTGGTTAGAGTTGGGCTGAGGGTTTGTAAAGAGAAGGAAGAATATCAGGGAAGCTTTCCAGCCTGGACACGTGATGTCGTCAAGTGATGGGGAGCCAACACACCAGGAGTAGATGCCACTGCTTAGGCTGTGCCCCTCAGGGTACAGGTGCTCTCGTTGGCTGTTTAAAGTGGGCAGTGGGCGCTAGTGAGCATAGCATGGGGCCCACCATCAGAGAGACCATCACTGCTGCCTGCAAGGTGGGGAAGGGTAGTAGGTACTCAGAGATTTGATGATGGGGGAAAAGATACCTCAATTTAGTGCTCCAAATATTATCTCCTGGGTATTATTATTTCGTATCTTTCTCCTTTAATTTTCTACCTTATGCACTGTGCTTTTCACAGTGAGTTTAAGATTTATGTAACTCATTGATGAGGGAACCAGTAGAACAGTAAAGCTTGTTCAGAGGTGTATAGGAGAGACACAAGGATTTTTTTTTTTTTTTTTTTTTTTTAGATTCGGCTTGAGCTAACATCTGTTGCCAATCCTTCTCTTTTTGCTTGAGGAAGATTGTCGCTTAGCTAACATCCATGCTGACCTTCTTCTACTTTATGTGGGACACCAACACAGTGTGGCTTGACAAGCAGTGCTCAGTCTGCACCTGGGATCCGAACCTGAAAACCCCAGGGCACTGAAGCAGAGCACGCGAACTTAACCACTGTAACACTCAGCCGACCCCTGAGACACAAGTATTTTTAGTTATCAAAATAAAGGATGCAGGAACAAGAGCGCTAAATTAGAGGCAAAACCAGTCAATGTCCTACAGCCAACAAAATCGAACATTTATGGTTCTCTGTTCTATTATGTAGAAATCACTTGTTGTCTATTGGACAAAATCCACTTGCATTTGCTGTCAGACAAGAATCATTTGCTTGGCTAAATGTTTTCCTTTAGAATTAAAAAAAAATATCCCATTCAAGAATAAATAGTAAGTCAAATGAAGGTACACGTCCTTACAGAATTAGATAATCCTTGGGTGGGCCTGTGAGACAATGTCCAGCAGGACAACTGAAAAGGATATGCAGCCATCTTTCTGGTCTTCTCCAAGGTTTTCTTATCAGCCCCACTTTGTGAGGATAAAGAATTTACAGTGATTGTTCTTCATCACCAAAACCAACCAACTAACCAACCAATCAACCCATCCTTGTCTCCTTGTGTTTTGCTCTGATTCATTCATGTATATTCTACTTACATATATTTAATTTAAATTAAATTTTATTTAATTTCAATAGCCTCTATCAGTTCAGAGATTCAAAACAAATTACTGCTCTTCTATTCTAAGGTTATGAAACCAAAACAAAGAAATTTATTTCCATCAGCTTTGCCTGTTGTACCTATAAATGTGGGGGAATTCTACTTTCCCAAGGTCCTCCAAATCTGCTAAGGTTCCTGGTCCATCAGGAAATGGTCTTCTTTTCGTGGAACAGGTACCAGATTGACTTCCTAGGTGGGCTTTGTAAACACCTTGATCCTTAATGATGGACTTAAAATATCTGATTAAATAACATACATTTTCAAATGTGATACTCCAGAAAACTCAAAGAATTTTATGGCACGAGTGAATTTTCAAACTATATCCTGGTAAAAAGCAGGGCATAATCTCATTGAATCTACGCAAATAATTACATTGCCGTTAAAAGTAAAGAGATTTAGTAAGAGTATTTTCCCCTGAACACTGACAGATCAGTGAGAACATAAATGTTTAAAGATTTTACTAAATTAGAGAGCAGGGTGAAAAGAAAAAGGGCTTTATTATAAAACTGTCAAAAATAGAATATTAAAACAATACCAATAATATTGCAAACCAGTCACTGCAAGTTTATTCCCTCATCAGCGTGTGCGGTCCTACAGAATTCTTGTTGCTGGATGTTGGGTCAACACTCAGGTTTCATGAAGTTCTCTGCATCTGGACTAGAATAGTGCTGGAAATCCTGACTCAGTCTGATGATAGAACTGACAGTTGTCTAAGCAATATCTGCTCAGAAGCTCATATTCATAAGTCTGTTTCTTGAAATAATAGTATTTAAAAATACTTGGTATATGCCTTTCACCAGGCTTTGTTGAAGATAATGTTTTTTTTTCACATAGCTTATAACAGGGGCTGTAGGCAAGCATGGAAAGAAAGAGAAACCTTACATATTGATAAGGTTGAATGGTACAGCTCATTTATTTTGATAACCAGCAATATCATAATGGAGAAGGGTAATGTTATCTATTGAAGAGTAGTACAGAACTATTTTGTGAGGATTTGAGGGATGTTTCCCAAAAAGTAAGAACATTTTATGGACAAGGAGGGCATTGACACATCTCCAGCACTTTCCAATCTATTGTGTAGAGTGTACCATCTCTGAAACGTGTTTATATTATTAGCATCTTGTCAATACGTAATTAACCTAGGGAAGCTGAATTCCTCTTTTGATTGGACAGCTCTCAAAATAGTGTTGAGATAATTAAGAATATGGAGTACACAAAATAGGCCTCTTTTTTTTTTTTTTTTTTTTTTTTTTTTTTTTTTTAGCATTCCTTTTCCTCTAAAGTAAAAGAAAAAAAATCTTTGTTGTTGTCCAATGGTCTTCTGGGAACCCCTAAAACTAGTTTAGGGTAAGAGACATCTTCAAAATTTTATTTTTCTGAATTTAGGGTCTGATCTTGAAAAGGCAAAACTAAAAGTTATCAGAGAAATTGATCATTTGATTAGGACAGTAGCATGAATGCCAGAAAGAAGCATTGTAGCTTGTATAAGAGTGACAGTACAATATTTAAAAAATAAAAACAGTAGAAAGTAACACAATTGTAAGAAATCTTAACACTGTCAGCAGTGAGGAACTTTTGCTAGTTTGTTGCAATAATCAAGGATGTAACAAATTCAGAATAAAGCACAAAAAGTTATTATGATAAGATACAGAATCTATTCTCTCTGGGCAGACTTTATAAGTGATAAAGAATAACTTTTAATATTTCTGGTTTAGAGCAGACTGAACACTCCAAAACCAATTTATTATTTTAACAGAGAGAACACAATTTTAGTCTTGCATTAACGTAATAATTGGCAGGAAAGGATTCTCAAGCTTTAAAAAAAATGTTAATAAACTCATCAAAATTAGAGCAATGTTGCCAGAGTTTTAATACATTTCATTCCTTCTTTTTTTCACAGGTATTATATATAGTCCAAGGAAAACACATTTCATTTCTGCAAACCTTCTACAGCTTTCTATATCCATCCAGGCTTTGTCATTCACCCTCAGCCTTCAAAATTTAGAACAACAGAACACATTAGGGAAAAAACTGCTTTCTTTTTCCTCAGTAAATAAAAATATCACATACTTCCTTGCGTAGATATTCTTATTTCTTTGCCAACATTCTTTCAGCATAGACTCAAGCACTTTGATTAATTGTAACTGTTAATCAAGGTAATAAATTCCTCTTTCACACACGAGTCTTGGAGGTAGGTAATTGAGGACTGTTTGTCACACACCAGGATCTAGAAATCCAACAAAGCTCATGGCTAGGGAACTTGAATCTGTTATCCTAGGCAGTTAGCTTGCCTGTCCTTTGCCCTGGAGGGAGATCTTATTTTTATTATACTAGACAGTAAACAAATTCACTCTTTGCTCTGGAGGCAGACACTATTTCTATTTTCCAAGGCTGTTTGCTATACAAATACTCTTGAAAAGACAGTCTTGAACACAGACAGCGTCTCTGCACACAAGATGTGCACAAACGCGGGAGACCCATGGAGAATTTTCTTCTAAGAGCCTAAAGATACAATTCCTGTACAACTGATACAAATAACAAAAAAAAGTATATATATATATATGTACTGTTTATATATATATATATATATATATATATATATATATATATACAATGTTTGGTGATCAATGTTTTTATATTTTATCTTATTTAGAAATTATCCAGGTATCCAAATATTGTCTACTAATTAGTTTGATTAAGGTCTTAATGTTAACTAGGGATCTTGAAAATTATGGTTATGTTGACACACCATAAAAATTGAATCACTTTCGACATAAAAAAGTTTTTTCATAATTATAATCCAATTTAGTTGAATAATTTTTTTCAAATCTTAAACGCTTATATTATATTCCACATTGATCAAATTAGAGAAAAGACATATGGCAGCATTTAAGCCAAAACAATTAAACCAATTTGATCATGGGGACTTAGATTCTTATGGTGAAATGCTTCTTGGATTTTTAAGGTGTCAACCATAACATCAACAATTAGAGAAAATTATGTCTTTTCTTCTCCACATTTTATTTTGTATTTTCCTGCAAATATTCAATTTTCTAATTGAAGTCACTTAAAATTATTTAATTAGTTAATTATTTAACTCATTAATGAGGGAGTCAATAGGATGGCAAAGCTAGTTAAGAGGAGTATAAGGAGACAGAAATATTGATAGTAACGGGAAGAAAGATTGCTGGGATAAGATTGCTAAATTATACGCAAAACTTATTTGCCCTACAGGACAATAAAACAGAAATCTTTGGGTATTTTCTTCTACCAGACAGAATTCATTTGTATTGCTATTGGAGAAGAATCATTTCCTTGCTATCAGCTTTTCTACAGAGTTTTAAAATATACTACCCAACATTACATAGTAAATCAAACAAAGATATACTTCCCTCAACAGTTAGATAATTCTTGGGGCCGGCCCAGTGGTGTAGTGGTTAAGTTCATGTGCTCTGCTTTGGAGGCCCGGGGTTTGCGGGTTTGGATCCCCACTGCAAATCTATGCACTGCTCATCAAGCCATGTTGTGGCAGCATCCCACATACAAAATAGAGGACGATTACCATGGATGTTAGCTCAGGGCCACTCTTCCTCACCAAAAACAAAAAAAAGAAAAGAAAAGAAAGAAAAAAGATAATTCTCCAGTAAGTCTCCTAGACAATATTTTAGTATAACAATTAAAGACATGCATTTGCTGTTTTGCCTATCTTTAAGTTTTGGATATTTTTTTCTAAAAAGTCCCTTGTTGTGATCATAAATAACTTGAAACGTTTTTCTTGACCACTAAAAAAGGCTGGCATTTGTCCTGATTCATTTATCTAGGTGCAGCACAAAGTGGTAATAAACACATATTAAACCTCCTGCAGTGTGGTCAGTGAGTCTAGATCCATGTGGTGTTAAGCAACTACCAAGGTCTGGGAAAACTTTGTGGGCATTGGGTCCACATAGGAAGCCCCACTCTTGACCCTTCACAGTGGGTTTATCATATCTGATCAAATAAGAATCACTCTCTCAAATATGACGTTCCATGCTTGATCTTGATTACACAATTGATTTATCCAGAATGAAAGTTTTTATTTTGATAAAGTCCAATTTATGTCTTTTTCTTTTATAGATTATGCTTTTGGTGTCATATCTAAGAAATCTTTGCTGAATCTAAGGTCATAAAGATTTTATCCTTTGATTTCTAGTTGTTTTTCTTGAGATATTGGACCATATTGGGGGCTGAATATTGGTTTCTGTTTCTGACAAGTCGGATTTTCAGATGTACCAGTAGCTAGATCAGCCTTGGGAAATGGGAGTCATTATGTTTGACCCTTATGTAGCCACTCTGTTCCTGTGCCTATCTTGCCAATTCTGGGGTGGCCAATGATGAAGGCTGGCTAAAGGCAACTGGATGAGGCATTTTGTCTACTTGGTTGTCCAGTACCTCTTCCCTGATGATGCTTTTTAGTAGGCATTAGGATGTGATATACTTTGTGCTCATTCCAGTATGTTCATCCACATGCCTCTACCCCATATCTCCTTGTCTCTGATCTTCAAGTCTTTTCCATCCAGACCTCCAACCAGATAGTCAGGCCATTGGCTACTGCCCAAGGATCTGTAAATTTTCTTACCTCAGGCCTTTACACACGAAGTGAATGACCAGTTGCACTGCTTATAGCTATGTCCATTGGGAAGATTTTCCTTCTCAACTGTCTCTTAGAACCACCCCTCAATGCAGCTGTAACACAGCCACTGTCCATTTTCAGCTTGTACCTAAGCATCAAGCTGATGCATCCATAAACCAAGCTTGGGCCTTTTCTCTTCCTTCAAATGAAAAGTAGGGAAGGGGACTGACGCAAACTTGATGGGTGATATGTGGGTGTGGGCCACTTGCTCATATAGCCCACTGGTACCCTTTGATCTGGTCCTGCTTAGGCTTGATTCAATTTCCATCTGATAATGGACTGTTGCTATCCATTGTCCATCTGTTCCAGGGTCCAGTAACATGTGAAGAACTATTTCTCAAGGGGCATCTAATTCTCTGCTGCCCATGGCGTGGTCTTACTCCAGAATCCCAGAGGCTTCTGCTGTGATTCTCCTCCTGGAGCTTTCCGTAAGCTCTGTTCTGCATCTGCCACCTCCACAACCTAGAGTCTGTGGGTTATACGGCCCAAACAGCAGGGCTGACTGCATTGCAACCTTGACCTGCTGCAGTGCCTGTTCCTGCGCTGGATCCCATTCAAAGCTGGCAGTCTCCTGTGTCACCTGGTATATGGGCCAGAATGATATTCCTAGGTGCAGAATGTGCTGCCTCCAGAACCCAAAGAGGCCCACCAGGCACTGTGCTTTCTTTTTTGTGCTCGTGGAGGGAATGCAAACAGCAGCATTTATCTTTTATTCTGGAGGGGATATCCCAGAAATCCCCTAACTGCAAGAACCCTAACAACTTCATTGAAGCGGTTAATCCCTGAATTTTTATAGAGTGTATCTCCCTATACCCTGTAGAGGGCATGTGCCTTACTGAGGCCTCCAACGTACTGGCTACCTTTTGCTCTAATCAGCATGATGTCATCCATGTAACGGATCAGCGTGATGTCTGCGGAATGTCCAGGAGATCCAGATCTTTTTGGACTAGATTAAGATAGAGGGTGGGAGAGTTAAATAGCCCTGAGGCAAAACTATAAGCGAATATTGTCTGTCTCATGAATACGAACTATTTTTGATCCTCTTTTCTAATTGGAATGGAAAAGAATGCATTCACCAAATCAGTGGCCACACACCATGCAGCCGAGGGCTTATGAATCTGCTGTGGCAATGATGCACATCCAGCACAGCAGCTGAAATGACAGCCACTACTTGGTTAAGTCTACTTCACATTGTGGGAAGAAGAGTCAAGTGGGAGGCCTTGGAAGTACCAAGATATTAGACCAAAGCAATACCACACCCCTGAAGGACGTAATAATATTAAAAGCCTTAGGAACCACAAAAGACCCCAAGTAGCCAAAGCAATCTTGAAAAAGAAGAACAAAGCTGGAAGCATCACACTCTCTGATTTCAAACTATACTACAAAGCTAAAGTAATCAAAACAGTATGGTATTGGCATAAAAACAGACACATCGATCAATGGGACAGAAGAGAGATCCCAGAAATAAACCCATGCGCATATGGTCAATTAATTTATGACAAAGGAGCTGAGAATATACAGTGGGGAAAGAACAACCTCTTCAGTAAATAGTGTTGGGAGAACTTGACAGCCATATGCAAAAGAACGAAATTGGACCACTATCTAATGCCATACACAAAAATAAACTCAAAATGGGTTAAAGACTTAAATGTAAGACCCGAAACCATAAAACTCCCAGAAGAGAACATAGGGGGTAAGCTCCTTAACGTCAGTCTTGGTGATGAGTTTTTAGGTTTGACACCAAAAACAAAGGCAACAAAAGCAAAAAGTAAGCAAGTGGGACTACACCAAACTAAAGCTTCTGCACAGCAAAGGAGGGCCAGCCCGGGGGCGCAGTGCTTAAGTGTGCACATTCCGCTTTGGTGGCCCGGGGTTTGCTGGTTCGGATCCTGGGTGTGGACCCAGGCATTACTTATCAAGCCATGCTGTGGCAGGCGTCCCACATATAAAACAGAGGAAGATGGGCACAGACGTTAGCTCAGGGCCAATGTTCCTTAGCTAAAATAGGGGGATTGGCAGCAGATGTTAGCTCAGGGCTAACCTTCCTCAAAAAAAATTAAAAAAGGTGCACAGCAAAGGAAACCATCAACAAAATGAAAAGGCAATCTATGAATGGGAGAAAATATTTGCAAGTCCTGTATTTGATAAGGTGTTACTATCCAAAATATATAAAGAACTCACATAACTCAATAGAAAAAATTCAATTAAAAAATGGGCAGAGGATCTGAATAAGCAGTTTTCCAAGGAAGACATACAAATGGCCAACAAGAACATGAAAAGGTGCTCAGTATCACTAATCATTAGGGAACTGCAAATCAAAACCACAATGAGATATCACCTCACACCTGTTAGAATGGCTATTATCAAACAGACAAGAAATAACAAGTGTTGGTGAGGATGTGGAGAAAAGGGAACACTTATGCGCTGTTGGTGGGAATGTAAATTGGTGCAGCCACTCTGGAAAGCAATATAGAGATTCCTCAGAAAATTAAAAATAGAACTACCATATGGCCCAGCAATTCTATTTCTGGGCATATATCTGAAGGAAATAAAATCTCTATCTTGAAGTTATTTCTGCACCCCCATGTTCATAGCAGCATTATGGAATAGCCAAGACATGGAAACAACCTAAGTGTCCATCAATGGATGGACATGATGGATAAAGAAGATGTGGTATATACATATATACAATGGACTATTACTCAGCTGTGAGAAAGAAGGAAATCCTGCCATTGTGACATGGGTGGACCTCAATATTATTATGCTAAGTGAAATAAGTCAGAGAAAGCAAATACTATATGATCTCACTTCCACGTGGAATCTGAAAAACACCTGAACTCATAGATACAGAGAACCCATTGATGGTTGCCAGAGGCAAGGGGTGGTGGGTGGGTGAAGTGGGTGAAGGTGGCCAAAAGGTACACACTTCCAGTTATAAGAGAAATAAGTCCTGGGGATGTGATGTTCAGCATGATGATTATAGTTAACAATACTGTACTGTACATTTGAAAGTTGCTAAAAGAGTAGATCTTAAAAGTTTTCTCATCACAAGGAAAAAATTACAACCATGTAATGATAGATATTAGCTAAACTTATTGTGGTAATAATTTCACAGTACATACGTATGTCAAATCATTATGTTGTACACCTAAAATTAACACAGTGTTAGACGTCAATTACATCTCATTGAAAAATAAAAACCAAAGCTCAAAAAAAAAAAGACTTGGGAAAATGCAGGAATGGTGATTCCTGCCCCATCTCCAATTAAGTTGCCTATTTGGCCACTGCAAAATTCAGACAGGTCTTTGAGAATGACTGTGAGCACTATAAAACTTAAGTTGTGACACAATTGTAGATAAGGTCCAAGATGAATTATCATTACTGAAGCAGTTCAGCACATTCACTGGCACCTAATATGCAGTTATTCACGGAGGAAATGCTTTCTTTTAAATTTCTATCCACAAAGATAATCAGAAACAATTTGCCTTTATGTGACAAGGACAGCAGTGCACATTCATTGTCTTATCTATGTCAAGACTACTGTTCTGTATTATAACATACGGGCTACGTCAACTCCACTGTCAACTCTATGCCAACTCTACTGTTCTCCATCACGATACAGTCTGGAGGGCATCTGGGACTTTTGTCAACTTACTGTTGTACAAAATATCATAGTAATATTTTTATGATAATATTATACTAATTTGACCAGATGAGGAGGAAGTAGCAAGCACTTTCGATGTCTTTGCAAGGCACATGCATGCTGGAGGAGTGGGATAACTCTGCTGACACTTCAGTGAGTTGAGGTATGTCAGGCGGCCCTTCAAAAGTTAGAGCCAAGGTGCCACACCTTGCACTGCCTATCAAGAGGAAAGAGGCAAAATGCTTTGAACGTTTCTGAATTTGGGAGAAAATATATAGCACACATGGGTTGTTGCTCTGACCCATTTACTGAGTAACCTATAAGGCTACCAGTTTTACAATAGGCCCAGGGCAAGAGAAGGCTTTGTGTCAGATCCAGGCTGCAAGGTTAGATTTTCTACTATTTAGGCCTCATAATTGAGCACACCCAATGGTATTGGAAATGTCTAGGGCAAGTAGGGGTACTGTATTGAGCCTCTGACAAATCCCAGCATGAGAATCACAGTGTAGACCCCTAGGATTTTGGAATAAGATTACTCCCTCTTTTGTTGACCACTATTCTCTGTTTGAAAAGCAGTTCCTGGGCTTGTTCCGAGGGCTTGGTAGAGATTCAATATCTAGCTACTAGACTTTAAGTAACTATACAACCCAAAATGCCCATCATGATGTAGATTTTATTTGGTAATCAAAACCATAGAATTTAGACATGGGTTGCAATGAATTGTCAAATAGAAAGGTTTCATACAAGAGGAGTCCAGAGAGCACTATTGCATTGGTAGGTGGCTCATATCCCCGTGGTACCTGTTCCTAAAGCTTTGCTGCTGCTTCTTTAGTTCATACCTAGGATCTCAAGGGAATTCCATATAATCAGTTAACAGAAGAGTAAAACCATAGCCCTGATTTGAAGATGGCTTTTCAAGTTGTGCTAGTAACTATGCACAAGTGTATGCTGCTGTGGTATAGCCTTACTTAGGGGGTGCCCTGAAAGGCAAGGGTGAAGAGAATTCCTGTCAATAGGCAGATCTTTGGGCAGTACATCTGGTTGTCCATTTTAGGTAGAAGGAGATACGGCCTGAGTACGGATCTACACTGATTATAGGTGGTGGTTTAATGAGTTCAATAGCTGGTCAGTGCCTTGAGAAGAATAAGATTGGAAAATTGTTAACAAGTTGTTTCGGGGGAGAGATATGTGGCTGAACATCTCAGAATGGGCATAGAGGGTGAAGATTTTTGTATCCCATGTAAATGCCCACGAAAGGACAGCCACAGAGGAAAAGGCTCTCAGTAATCAGGTGGATAAGATGACCTGTTTTCTGAATGCCAGTCAACTTTATCCAGCCACCCTGGAGCTTACTCAGTTGGCCCATGGAGAAAGTTACCATAGCAGCAGGGACGAAGGCTATGCAGTAGCTCAACAACACAGATGTTCTTTTCCAAGGGTGACATGGCTATTGCTACTGCTGAGTGCCCAACCTGCCCAACACAGAGACCAACACTGAGCCCTGATATGATGTCATTACTCAGGGGGACTACCCATTTACCTTATGGCAGGTTAATTTCATTGGACCCCTTGCAACATGATGGGAGCAGCAATATGGTCCTTGGAGGAATAAGCACATATTCTGAATACGGATGACATCCTTTCCACAATGCTTCTGCCAGCACCTCCATTCATGGACTTAAATTGGACCATATTATCCCTCACGCTATCACCTCCAGCTGAGGAACTCAGTTTATAATGAAGGCAGTGCAGCAGTAGACTGATACTCATGGTATTACCTTGCGTCTAGCACTCAGATGTAGATAACTGGATTGAGTGGGGGGATAGTTTTTCAAAGGTTCAGTTACAGCATCAGTTGGGAGACAATACCTTATGAGGCTTTCCTATAGTATATGGTATATGCCTTACGTGGTATATGACGCCATATCCCTCACAGAGACAGTGTACAAATCTGCGAACCAAGGTACGGAGGGGGGAGTGTGGCCTCTCACTAACATACCTAATACTCCACTTAATGGAATTTTTCCCTTCCTATCTCACAATCTGGGTCTCAGTGGGTTTGGAGATCTTAGTGCCCAAAGAAAGAATGTTCCCATGAGGAAAGTAGTCATTGTTCCATTAAATTCACACTTAAGAACAACTCCTGTTCGTTTTGGGCTCCTGATGTCACTGAACCAACAGGCAGAGAAAAGAGTTCTTATTCTGATCAAAGGGATTGATCCCAATGAGCAAGGGGAAAATGGGAGGCTGTTACATCATGGGGGCAAGGAGGACTATGTCTGAAACCCAGAGGAGATACTGGAGTGGCTTTAGTATTTCTATGACCTGTAATAATGGTCAGTGGCAACCGAGGCAAGACAGAAACTCTAAGGGCTCACATTGTGCAAGAATGAAAGTTTGGCCAGCCCACCAGGTGAAAAACAATCCAATAAACTGAGGTTCTAGCAGAAAATAAACAGATCACGGAAAAGACAATGGAAGAAAGAAGTTCTCTGCACCATTTTATACCTCGTGACCAGCTACTGAAAGACACAGTAAAACTGTATTTCATGTTAATTAATTTCCCCTTTCCCCTGCCAACTTATACGAAATGTGCTCATCAAGGCTAACATTGCATTGACGTTCCAGCTGAAAGTATGACTGAATAATCATCACCCCTTGATGGTACACAAATCATTTGTGTTTAGCCTCTGTCATTAGGGGTGTGAATGTCTTCATCCAAGCG